GTCCATTGTCTCACCATGATCACAAGGAGCATAAGTCATGTCTATGCTCCTCCTTGTGTTCATCATTCCATGTGATGATGCTGTGACTTGCTGCATGGTTCTTAGACGGTAAAAAAAACGATTTTGTGCTACGTATGCGCATCATGTCATGTGATCAGCTGCTTATTCAGTTCTGCTGTGTGGTTTGCTCTGCTCTGTGCCTTGCCTGCGTGCTTTCGCCTTCAGGGAGCTGCTGCCATTCAAAAGAGGCTTGAGCCAGATGATCCTGCTAAGCGGTAGAACACCTGTTTTCTTTTATAAGAAACGCTTGTATTGGGTGCGTTTCACTGCTCAGTAGGCCTTTAGGGAGAAATTGATGCGTGTATGTGATGGTTCAAATTGCACCCATGCAGTATTGTATGAAATATGACATGCAAGGGGTAATACTGCACTGTATGAAATATGACATGCAAGGGGCAATACTTCAAATACATTACGACTGGGTCTTCAGAGGTCCCTTACCGTATGTTGCTCTTATTTACTGCACACCAGTGCCGATCTAGTAAGTTTTGTACAAACGGCCCACCTTCTAACCACTCAATTTCATTCCAAATTTCGATACGTGTACCGTTCTACCCCTTTCTCAACCTTCAATATGTACCGGTATAAAGTCTAGCAATCCTCTCGAGCCTCCTCCGAACCGTCAAACCTCAGCCGCTTGGCTCGGTCCAAGCCTCCAGCCAGGGAAGCGGGACGTTTGGATCGGGCACCGAGCACTGCAGGCATTAAGGGCCGCACCTCTCCACTGGAAACAAAGGCATGGGTCTCTCTACTCGCATCATCTTCAAGCCTTTTCGCCCCTTCGTCATCTCTTCTCCCGTCTCCTTCATGCCCTTCACCCTGATCATCCCTGTTACCAGTTTCCTCAAGCCCCCCCTCCTCCAATGGCATGCTCCCTTCAACCCTCCCCCTCACACCCCCTTCTACATCTTTCACTCGAGCCGTCAACAAAATCCCCTCCCCCTCATACCCGCCGAATTCCCCATCCCCCATCCTCCCCTGCCGTCTCTCCTCTTCCCTTCCAGACTCGTCCGTCTCTCTCTCTGCTGCCCCTCCTCCACACTCATCCCCCTCTCCCTCACTACCCCCGTGGTAGTTCAACCCTGGTTGTTGCACCTCGCCTGTCTCTCCTTCCCCTCTCCGTTTCTTATGCCTGGGACCCAGACACGCCCTAATAACCCCCGCTTCTCCCTCTCCATCCTCCCGCCCTCCCTCTCCTTCCTCTCTTCCCTCTCTATCCTCCCCTCGCCCCACTCCCTCCTCTCCTCTCTCCTCCCGTCCTCCCTCTCTCGCCCCTTTTCCCTCTCTCTCCTCCCCTCCCTCTCTCCCCTCGTCTCCGTCTCTCACTTCTCCCCCTCCCTCTCTTCCATCCTCTCCCTCTCTCCCCTCCTCTCCCTCTCTCCCCTCCTCTCCCTCTCTCCCTTCCCCAACCCCCTCTCTCTCCTCCACTACAGCCATCTGCATCCCCCCCCCACCATCCATGCATGAGCTTCCCCCTGCCATCATCCGTGCAAGCATGCTGACAGCGTGCAGCAGCCACTGCGTGCCCCTGTCCCCGGGAACCCTCCAGCAACCATCCGCTTCATCGGGATGCTTCAAGCAGAGCGCTGTTAGGGAGAGGTGAGGGGAAGAAGAGAGGGAAGTGGGTGAGTGAGTGATGCAAGCATGCTCACAGCGTGCAGCAGCCACTGCGTGCCCCTGTCCCCAGGGACCCTCCAGCAACCATCCGCTTCATCAGGATGCTTCAAGCACAGCGCTGGTGGGTGGGAGGAAATGGAGCAGAGAGGGATGGAATTGAGCATGTGAGCTTCTCCCCCTGCCACCATCCGTGCAAGCATGCTCACAGCGTGCAGCAGCCACTGCGTGCCCCGGTCCCCAGGGACCCTCCAGCAACCATCAGCCTCATCTGGGTGCTTCAAACACAGCGTTGGTGGGTGGGGAGAAAAGAAGCAGAAACGTATGGGAGGTGAAGGGAAGGGGAGAGAGGAAGGCCATTGAGTGTTACTTTTTAGTCGACTGAAAAGTCACCTCAAGCACAGCGCTGGTGGGTGGGGAGGAAAGAAGCATAAACGGATCGGAGGTGAAGGGACGGGGAGAGGGAAAGGCCATTGAGTGTTGTGTGAGCAACACTTGAGAGCACACCTGAGAGCACACCTGACAGCAACAGACAAAAACTCACCTGAGAGCAGCTGGGCCATGCTGTCATTCGCCACTGTGTCCCAATCTTCCAGTTCCTCCACCAACGGAAAGTCTACATGCACAACTTCCCCCCACCCCCCATCCCCCTCCTCTCCTCCCTCCCCTTCCTCCTCCTCTTCCTCCTCCTCCTGCCCTCTCCTCCTCTTCCCCTTCTTCCCATTCTCCTTCCCCTTCCCCCCTTTTTTCTTCCCCTTCCTGCCAGGCCAATCTGGGCCGTCCATCAGCAGGAGCTGCCAGCTGTTTCGAGCGATCGCGTCCGTCCAGCTGGCGTGGGCTGCTTTCAGGCGCGATTGCAGCCATTGAATGGCTTCTGCTCCATCAAAGGAATCTGTAGGAAGGAGTGGGGGTGAGGGGATGGGCGGTAAGGGGGAGGAAAGGGGGAGGAGGAAAGGGAAGAGAAGAGACAAGATTCGTATAGTAAAAACGGACATTGAAAGACGGGTATACAGAAGCAGTCAAGGGGAAAGGAGGCATGGAGAAAGGAAGGCTAGAAGTGGGAGGTGAGGGCATTTTGGAAGCAGGATGGAGGAGTGTTTTGAGTCGACTCAAAACACACCTGGATACAATGTCACGCGAGGTGGGAGGTGAGGGCATTTTGGAAGCAGGATGGAGGAGTGTTTTGAGTCGACTCAAAACACACCTGGATACAATGTCACGCGAGGTGGGAGGTGAGGGCATTTTGGAAGCAGGATGGAGGAGTGTTTTGAGTCGACTCAAAACACACCTGGATACAATGTCACGCGAGGTGGGAGGTGAGGGCATTTTGGAAGCAGGATGGAGGAGTGTTTTGAGTCGACTCAAAACACACCTGGATACAATGTCACGCGAGGTGGGAGGTGAGGGCATTTTGGAAGCAGGATGGAGGAGTGTTTTGAGTCGACTCAAAACACACCTGGATACAATGTCACGCGAGGTGGGAGGTGAGGGCATTTTGGAAGCAGGATGGAGGAGTGTTTTGAGTCGACTCAAAACACACCTGGATACAATGTCACGCGAGGTGGGAGGTGAGGGCATTTTGGAAGCAGGATGGAGGAGTGTTTTGAGTCGACTCAAAACACACCTGGATACAATGTCACGCGAGGTGGGAGGTGAGGGCATTTTGGAAGCAGGATGGAGGAGTGTTTTGAGTCGACTCAAAACACACCTGGATACAATGTCACGCGAGGTGGGAGGTGAGGGCATTTTGGAAGCAGGATGGAGGAGTAGGCAATCCACTTTGAAACCGGTAACCATCACATTGTTCACAAGTGTTCTTTCTACGCAAACACATTTCACCTACTCAGGTGTCTCAAACCAAGTATTTGCTGCCACGTGTTGACCCATGGCCTCTAAGTGGGGCTCGAGTTGAAAGGAAGCATGGAGGAAGGACGGCTAGAAGTGGGAGGAGAGGGCATTTTGGAAGCAGGATGGAGGAGAAGAGCTCTTACCGTCAGCAAGCACTGCTTGAACGCCCTCCCGCACGGCTTCCTCTTTCAACTCCACCCGCTCTTCCACTCCCACAGCAGCATCTCAATTCAATGGAGGCAGAAAAGGGGATAAGGGTTCTTACCGTCAGCGAGAACTGCTTGAACGCCCTCCCGCACGGCTTCCTCTTTCAACTCCACCCGCTCTTCCACTCCCACAGCAGCATCTCAATTCAATGGAGGCAGAAAAAGGGATAAGGGCTCTTACCATCAGCGAGCACTGCTTGAACGCCCTCCCGCACGGCTTCCTCCTTCAACTCCACCCGCTCTTCCACTCCCACAGCAGCATCTCAATTCAATGGAGGCAGAAAAATGGATAAGGGCTCTTACCATCAGCGATCACTGCTTGAACGCCCTCCCGCACGGCTTCCTCCTTCAACTCCACCCTCTCCTCCACTCCCACAGCAGCACTTGCAATGGAAGCACCTCCGATAAGAGCACTCCCTGTTATAGGCCCTGCAGCAATAGCAGTGCTGTTTGCAACAACGATAGCCCCTCGGTCTCCCTCTAAATCCATTGCACCATCCCCACCCGCAGCCTGACTGCCTGTAGCCCATTCCTCTTCCAGGGGCTCCTGCTCCCTTCGCATCTCTCCTCCTCGTGCCGCTCCTCCTGACTTCTGCCTCCTGTCACTCCTCTGCCCTCGCCTCACTTTAGCAGCAGCAGCCAGTGCCCTCTGTCTCTTACTCAGCAGCACATTCTCCTCGTCCTCACTACTCTCCGCCTCTTCCTGAGAGCTCTTATCAGCCCTTCGCCCTCGCCTCACTCTAGCAGCAGCAGCAGCAGCAGAAGAAGAACCAGCCAGTGCCTTCATTCTCTTACTCAGCAGCACATTATCCTCTTCCTCACTACTCTCCGCCTCCTCTTGAGAGCTCTCATCAGCCCTTCGCCCTCGCCTCACTCTAGTAGCAGCAGAACCAGCAGCAGCAGTGGCAGCAGCAGCAGCAGAACCAGTCTGTGCCTTCGGTCTCTTGCTCAGCAGCACATTATCCTCATCCTCACTACTCTCCACCTCCTCCCTTTCATCCTCCCTCAAACCCTCCTCTCCTTCCTCGCCTCCCACTCTTTCCTCCTCCCCTCCTGTCTCCTCCTCGTCCTCTGTCTCTCCTTCCTCAACCTTCTTTCCCTCTTCCCCCTCCTCTTTCTCTTCTCCCTCCTCTCCCTCCACTCCCTCACCCACATCCCTCAAAATCTCATCAAACCCATTCCCACTCCCCCGTCTTCTCCTCTCACTCCTCTTCCTGCCCGTGCCATCCTCGGGCAACCCAAGAAACTGAATCCTCTGCGCAACCCGGGCAACTGAAAACTTCCCTCCCATAGCCTTAGCAACGTCTTGCGCAACTGCAGCTTTGCCTCTCCTGCCCTTTCTCCTCTTGCTGCTGCTGTTGCCGCTGCTGCTGTTCCCCACCTGAACCCCTGTAGCATTATAGTATAGACTCCTGATCATTGCATCATCTTCATCTGTGAATGGGAGACTGCCGCGCCTCTGCGTGTTCCTCGCCCCTTTTGCCTTCAACCCCGTTTTTAATCCCACGCCTTTCCCCCCCTCCTCTCCTGTAAGCTCCTCTCCTTCTCCACCGATTTCCACACCTTCCTCTCCCTCCGCACTTCCTTCCTTCCTCTCTCCCTCCTTCCTTTCGCCCTTCTCCCCAGCCCCCCACCCCATCTCCCCTCCTTCCATCTCCTCCAACCCAATCTCTTCCTCCACCTCACTCTCTCCCTCACTCTCTCCCTCACTCCCTCCCTCACTCCCCTCTCCACCTCCATCCCCCTCCTCTGAATCACTATCAAATACAAGCTGCCTCCTCCTTCCTTTTTTCCCCACACTCACACGTGTCTTGCGAGTCCTCCCCTTCCCAAGCTTTCCTTTCCCAGCCTTGCCTTTCCCGCCCCCTGCCATACCACCACCATCGCCGTCATCACCATCACCATCACCACCCATTGATTCACCTCCCCCCGCCGCCGCTGCCGCCTTGCTCCTTTTTAGGCCCTGCGACCGCAAAAAACGGCTAACCTTCGCCGCAAGTGCTTTTATAGGGTCCGCTTTTCGAGAAACACCCTCCTTTTCCCTGGATCCACCCTCCTTCTCTCCAACTTCCCCCCCTTCCTCCCCTTCCTCCCCTTCCTCCCCTTCCTCCTCTTCCTCCTCTTCCCCGCCTTCCCTTGGTTCCCCTTTCTCCCCTGGTTTTCTACGGCCCATGGTAGAAAGCAGGCTGGGGTCATGTGCGATCAGAGCCTTTGCTATCAGTGATGGCACCTCCCGCCTCGACTTGTGACTGAAGGAATGGGGGAGAGGCGGGGTGGAGGGGGGGAATGGGACGGAGGAGGCGCATGAGGAGAGGAAGGGGGGTAATGAGGAGGGGGGGAGGAAGACCGGTGGAATGAATCAGGCTGGGATCGTGTGCGATTAGGGCCTTTGCTATCAGTGATGGAACCTCCCGCCTAGTCTTGTGGCTGATGGGGGCGGGAGAGAAGGAAGGGGGGGAGGGAGGTTGAATAAAGAAGACACCATAAGACACACACGCGTACCTCTTAAGCAGGTACCGTCCTTACCTCTCGAAAAGCTCGCGGATTCTCCTCTCCTGGTCTTCTGAAAACACTCGTGCCCTGCCCCTTCCCTTGCTGCCAGGCATCAGAGTGAACGGGGAGCAAGGTGGGGAGAACGAGGTGGTGGTGGTGGTGTGAGTGATGAGACGATTTATGAGGCGCCTAAGAAATCGCACTGCCCCTTCCCTTGCTGCCAGGCATCAGAGTGAACGGGGAGCAAGGTGGGGAGGAAGGGATGGTGGTGGTGTGAGTGACGTTGTGTTTTATGTCGACTCATTTCACGCCCGTGCCTGCCCCTTCCCTTGCTGCCAGGCATCAGAGTGAACGGGGAGCAAGGTGGGGAGGAGGCGGCGGCTTTGAGTGTTGAGTGTTGAGAGGCCTCAAAAGTGAATGGGGAGCAAGGTGATGGTGGTGGTGGTGGTGGTGGTGTGAGTGACAGTAAGATTCTTGGTGACTTTTGAGTCGACTCAAAAGTCTCCTCGGCTTTGAGTGTTGAGAGGCCTCAAAAGTGAATGGGGAGCAAGGTGATGGTGGTGGTGGTGGTGTGAGTGGTGTGGTGGTGGTGTGGTGGTGTGAGTGACAGTAAGATTCTTGGTGACTTTTGAGTCGACTCATAAGTCACCTCGGCTTTGGGTGTTGAGAGGTCTTAAAAGTGAATGGGGAGCAAGGTGATGGTGATGGTGTGGTGGTGGTGTGGTGGTGTGAGTGACAGTGAGATTCCTCCCTTGCCTGCTTGCCTACACACATTTTTACTAGTCAGATCCCTTCACTAGTAAGATTCTTGAAACATCGTTGCGAAGCGAATGGCTTTCTTTCTCCTTCCTCTGCTTTTGTACCCTCTCTTCTTTCACCTCTTGTTTCCAGCAGCAGCAGCATCAGGCGGCCTCCACATTCCTTGAGGTAACCCCACATCTACCTCTCTCAAACCACGTGTAGAAAGTGAAATTTGAGACGTCTCAAAGATGTTTCCAGCTGCAGCAGCATCAGGCGCCCTTCACATTCCTTGAGGTAACTCCACATCTACCTCTCTCAAACCCCCACTCCTCCCGCCTTACCGTCGCCCCTTTTCTCACCTCTTGCTGCCGACAGCAGCAGCATCAGCAGCATCAGGCGCCCACCACATGCCTCGAGGCAACTCCACGTTACCATCCCCCAACGCATCTCAACGCCTCCCACCCTAACTCCCTATGCACGCCCACCTTCTTGCACATTCCCGCGCCTCTTCTCTCACCTCTTCTTGCCAGCCGCAGCAGCATCAGCAACATCAGCGGCCCGCCACATGCCTCGAGGCACTTCCACATCTGCTTCATCATCCCCCAACGCGTCTCTCAACCCCCCACTCTTCAACACTCCCACCTCCTTGCATATTAAAGGAAAAACTCTGTTACTGTCGCCCCTTCTCTCACCTCTTCTTGCCAGCAGCAGCAGCAGCAGCAGCAGCAGCAGCAGCAGCAGCATCAGCAACATCAGCAGCCCACCACATGCCTCGAGGCAACTCCACGTCTGCCTCATCATCCCCCAACGCGTCTCTCAACCCCCCACTCCTTACATTCTCCCGTCCCCCCTTTTCTCCCCCTTTTCCTCCTCCCCCACCCCCTCTCCGCCTCCCTTTTCCCCCACTCACCGCCTCCCATCCCTCTTCCCCATCCCCGCCGCCCACTCTCCCGCCCACCCACCCCCCCGACCAAAGCTCCCCCAGTGCCACGTCAGCAGCGAGAACCATGCTTTCTTTCCGTGATTTGTGGAAGAGGAGGCGGAGGAAGAGGGAGGGGCGGAGGGGGAGGAGGGCGGAGAGGTGGCGGACGGTGGAGGAGAGGAAGGAGAGGAGGGGCGCGTGCAGAGGGGAGGAGCGCAGGTCTGGGTTCGTGAGAAGCTTGTAAAAGGTGTGCAGGGTTGACACCTGGGGGGAGGGGGGTTATGGGGGACAGGGAGGAGGGGAGACGGGGGGAAGAGCAGGGGAGCGTGCTTTAGGTGACCTAGAAACAGGGGCGCGTGCAGAGGGGAGGAGCGGAGGTCGGGGTTGGTGAGGAGCTTGTAGAAAGTGTGTAGAGTTGATACCTGGGAGAAGGGGGGCAGTGGGGGCAGGGGAGACGGGAGAAAAGGCAGAGGACTATTCTTGAGACGCCTCAACAACAGGGGAGCGTGAAGAGGGAAGGAAAGGGATGAAGAGGGAGGGGCGGAGGGGGAGGAGGGCGGAGAGGTGGCGGACAGTGGAGGAGAGGAAGGAGAGGAGGGGCGCGTGCAGAGGGGAGGAGCGGGGGTCTGGGTTCGTGAGAAGCTTGTAAAATGTGTGTAGGGTTGATACCTGGGGGGAGGGGCGACGGGGGGAAGGGGAGATGGGGAGGGACAAGGGCAGCAGCACAACCATGTGGCGTTATTGAAACAAGGGAGCATGGATGGGGGAGGAGCGGAGGTCTGGGTTGGTGAGGAGCTTGTAAAAGGTGTGCAGGGTTGATACCTGGGGGGAGGGGGATGGCGGGAGAGGGGCCAAGGGAGGATTGTGAAACGGCAGGCGCACAATCATAGAACGCCACTGAAACAAGGCTGCCTGCAGGGGGGAGGAGCGCAGATCTGGGTTCGTGAGAAGCTTGTAAAAGGTGTGCAGGGTTGAGACCTGGGGGGAGGGGGGAGGGGGGTTGGGGGGTGAGGGGGATGGGGGGAGAGGGGGGATGGGGTTACAGGGAAGATGGGGGGCTTGTCAGGGTGCAGGGTGTAAGGGTTGAGACCTGAATACACCTGAAAAAGCGCGTGCAAAAACACCTGAGAAGATACCTGAGAAAGCACCTGAAAAATCAGCTGAGAAATCACCTGAGACCCACCTGGAACAGCATGGCCTCAGCATCACACCCCACAGTGAACCTCCTGAGCAGCGACAGCACATAGTGGTTGACACGTGGCGCGTTGCTATTGGCCGTTTCCAGCAGCCAAACACAGTTCTTAACCGCGTGCACGTCAGCAAACCCCCTTATAGTCCGCTTCACATCTAGCTCATACTCCCGAACTTCCTCCCTCCCGCGCCGACCCTCCTCCTCCGCCTCCTCTATGCCGTCCCCAGGCTCGGCATCCGAGCCTATGTCCGAGCCTGCATCCGAGGCTAGGTCCGAGCCTGGGTCGGAATCTTCCGGGCCTTCTCCGTCTGCTGCTGCCTCTTCATCATCATCATCACCAGCATCATCAGCAGCAGCAGCAGCACCACCACCACCAACACCTTCCGCCTGTTCTGTTCCCCCTTCCTGCCCTTCCTCCCCTCCGGATTCACCTCTCTCTTCACCCCCTTTTTCTGCAGCATCAGGTGCGGCATTATCGTCACGACCATCACGAGCAGCATCGTCAACAGCAGCACCATCAGCAGCACCACCATCACCATCAGCACCACCAGCAGCACCAACGCCACTACCACCGGCATCAGCTGCTGCAGCACCATCAGCACCACCAGCACCATCAGCTGCTGCAGCATCACCAGCACCGCCACCATTACCACCACCATCAGCACGCTCATTCTCTGCAGCAGAAGCATTTTCTCCCTCCTGATTTTGAGCTGTTTCCTGCACTCCCTCCTGCTCTCCCTCCTTCTCTCCCTCCCGCTCTCCCTCCTGCTCTCCCTCCTTCTCTCCCTCCTTCTCTCCCTCCTGCTCTCCCTCCTCTCCCTCCTGCACGTTCCCCTGCTCTCCCTCCTTATCCCCTTCCTTGCCTGTGTCTGCACTCTTCCCCTTCGCCTTCCCTGCCTTGTCCTTCCGCTGTCGACTCTTCCTCACAACCTGCATTGAGCAAGGTAGCAGGGGGACAGTACACAAGAGATCAGAGGCTTTACCTGTCAACTTTCTAAGCCCGCACTCTCTTTCTCTTCCCCTTCCCATTCCCTGCCATGTCCTTCCGCTGTCGACTCTTCCTCACCACCTGCATTAGCCAAGCCAGCAGGGACACAACACACGAGATCAATAGTCTATCTGTCAACTCCCTCAACGCACCTTCAGTCGCTGCAGCACATGCAACCTCACATTCCAACGCACCTTGAGTGCCCCTTCTGTTCGAACCAAGTCTTCGAGCAATCTCAGGCACACGTGAGTTGTTTCGACTGCGTCCACCAGCAAGCAGCGCGGCTGTGTGTGCGGGTTGAATCCCTTCAGCACTCGCTGCAGCACATGCACCACTCCATCACTCGAATCGTCGTAGAATAGTCGTAGAAGCATGGCCCGCGCCAGCCGAACCTCCCGCCGAACCTCCCACCGGACCTCCTGCCGAACCTTGTGGTGAGGGTCGGCCGAGCCTGTTGTTGTGGGGGTGGGATTCTCTCCGGATTTGATCACAGCATCTAGCATGTGGATCTGCAGGGCAGAGACAGGGTGGGCAAGGGGCAAGCGGAATTCTCGTAAGACATCATTAATAATAATGATTATTATTATATATACATATATATCACCTCATTGCAGCATCTAGCTTGTGAAGCTGTGAGATAGGCAAGGGGAAGGGGAGAGGAGGTGGGGAGGAGGGGAAGAAGTGTGCTTTTTGAAGCTTCTCAAAAGGGAAAGGGGATGGAGGGATGCTGCTCACTCGACGCTCCATTTCGTTCAGCACGGCACGCATTGCACCTAACCTCACTGCACCATACCGCACCACTCACCATTTCTTTCAGCAGGCTGCCGGCCGCCACCAGTGCTGCCCGCTCGTGATTGGCCCGGGCAGCATACTCTGCCCAGCGGGCAGAAACAAGAGTGAACATATCATCATCCATAGTAGCCGCTATAGGCCCACACCCACACACCACCGTTCGTTGCTCCACCTCCCTAGACGCTTCCTCTGTTCCTGTTTTTTCCCCTTCCTGTTTTTCCTTTCCTTCTCCTGGTTCTCCTCCTTCTCCTCCCCCTCGTCCCCCTGCTTCCACGTCCCTTGCCCCTGCTGCCTCTCCTGCTCCCCCTGCCCCTCCCCCTGCAGCGCCCCCTTTCCCCCCCTCCCCTGTGCTTGCAGCTGCCCCCGCTCCCCCCCAGCCCCTCAGGCCGTGCATTTCCCGCTGAAACGCAGTGAAGAAGGACGCCACGAGGAAGAAGGCGAGGGTATCAGAGGGTTCCAGCCCCGCCCGCCAGGCCGCCACGTCACGACGCACCGTTTCCATGAGCACTGGAAGGAGGGGAGAGGAGGGGGGAGGGGGAATGGGGTAGAGGGATGAAAGGCTTTTCTGTAACTCCTGCTGCTTCCTCCCCTCCTCTGCTCCCTTCCTCTGGCTGCTCCCCCCTAGCCCCGCAGGCCGTGCATCTCCCGTTGGAACGCGGTGAAGAAGGAAGCTACCAGGAAGAAGGCGAGCGTGTCAGAGGGCTCTAAACCCGCCCGCCAGGCCGCCACGTCGCGACGAACCGTCTCCATGAGCACTGGCGGGAGGGGGGGGAGGGGGGAATGGAAGTGTGGAATTTGTGTCTCAACTCGAGAGGAAGAAGGCGAGCGTGTCAGAGGGCTCTAGTCCCGCCCGCCAGGCCGCCACGTCCCGACGAACCGTCTCCATGAGCACTGGCGGGAGAGGGGAGGGGGGGGGAGGATGAGTAACGTCTCCCATCAAGCCGTGCATCTTTCGTTGGAAAGCAGTGAAGAAGGAAGCCACGAGGAAGAAGGTGAGCGTGTCAGAGGGCTCTAGCCCCGCCCGCCACGCCGCCACGTCGCGACGCACCGTCTCCATTGTTGGTGCAACCCTACGGTTTGCACTCGGCTTATTGTCCGTGTGCGTGAATGTGTGTGTGTATGGAATGGTATGAGGGCATGGGATAATATATATTTCATGCTTATAATTGTGTGTGAATGTTGAGTCATGATGTCGAGTGTGTGTGTCGAGTCAATAGCGAGTTATCGCTAGACGCGTGTTACGCGGTCGTTTGTGTCTCGCGCGCGGTTTCTATTTTGTCGTGCGCGGTTTCTATTTTGTCCTGTGTCGAACGTTCGGCGTGTCGCAGGTGTGTGCAGCAGACCCATCAAGAACTCAAGGATGAGTTTGTGATGAAGAGCCCGAGCCTTGGTGTCAAGCCTCAAGTGATTTCGAAGCTTGCCAAAAGGGTACACCTCAAAATATTGAAGATAGTTACATTACTTTGTGTAGTGTAACATTTCACTTGGTGTAGGCCCTAGTGAAGGGTAGTTTCGAGACCCTTCGTGGTTGGGGACAGTGTGGCACTGTTCCACATCACTGTACCTCGGCTCTTGGGGTTTGTAGGAGCTGGGAGTCATTCCCAACTCGTAACTCTTCCTATCTTGTGTTCTAAGACTATAGTGGCTGCCATAGTACCGTTCGTTCAAACCGACGCTGTGTCGTCAATTCTTTATCAAATTGTGCAATCTAAATTGCTAATTGTAGACGACGTGAAGACGCTCCAGATCCAATTTGAATCAAGTCATTTGCAGCTGTGAGCAGAACGCTATCAACGTTTGAAGCCGCTGTGCAGAAATCCGTCTGTGCTCTCTATCTTTCGTTTTAGGCACATTGGAGCCAACTGTGACTATAACAAGTGGTATCAGAGCCCCTTGGAGCAGTTTCGACAATGTCTGGACCTGAGGAAAGGGGTGGCAGAGGTGCTGGTGGCAGTGGAGAAGCTCAAGCTCAACGCCAACCCCGTGATTCAGCCATGGCGCCCATGCAACCAAGTCTTGGCCCACCTAGGGATGAGCCTAGGGTGTTTGGGCTTGACAAGTTCAATGGTGACAACTTTGCTGAATGATCCTTCAAGATGGAGAACATCTTTGACCACTATGACCTGCTGGAGGTGATGGAAGGAACGGAGAAGCGCCCCGAGAACGACCCGGAGAAGAGCCCGTGGGTGCGGAAGAGCGCACAAGGCTATCTCTTACTTGGGCAAGCGTTGGGGAGCAGTCAGATCCGTCACATCAAGCCATTCCAGCGTGAACCAGAGAAAGGACCAAAAGCATGGGCTGCTCTCAAGGGTGTACATGCTCCTGCAACAGCGGCGGTAGCGGTGGTGTTGGAACGGCAAATGGCGGCACTACGAATTGAAGAAAACGAAGCGGTTGAAGAAGGGGTGCAGAAATTCTTCGACTTGTTGACGCGGCTTGAGGGAGCTGATTTGAACTACAGTGAGCTCCAAAAGAAGACCAAGTTGCTGGCCTTACTCCCAGAGTCATGGTCCTCGCTCATCATCAACCTTAATCGCGACTTGCCCCGCCTCTCGCTTGAAAACGTGAAGCGAGCTATCTTTCAAGAGGATTTCCGCCGCCGTGAGTTGGCGAGTGCGGATGGCGCTGGGGCAGCGACCATCGGCCGTGGATATGGTCGAGGAAGAGGCAGAGGACGAGGGGGAGGAGGTTTGGTGGCAGCAACTTCGGCGGAGGCCGCAGGAGTGGCGGTTACGGCAGCGACGACAAGAGCTACGGACGCGGTCGCGGCCGATTCGACGGCGAGTGTCACTATTGCCACAAGAGCGGACACATGTGGCGCGACTGCTACAAACTCCCTGATGGTTGGACCCCTGCTCAAGGCCAAGAGGGTAGAGGAGCAGGAGGAGGGAGAGGACGAGGCCGTGGAGGCCGTGGCGGTCGCGGTGGCGGAGCTGCAAACATGAAGAGCGGAGACAACGACAATGACCCGAGCGACGATCGATACCCGGGTCTATTCTACTTCGTGTCGACGCAAGTACCGGCTGGTCCAGAGAAGGATGAAGGCTTTGAGGAGCCAGCAGCTGTGGGGAAAGTGACCCTACACCCCCTGGACTATTGGGTGATTGATAGTGGCGCTACCTATAGCATGACACCTCGCCCGGACTTGCTCACCGAACTCGAGCCGTCACCGGTGAAGCATGTCACATCGGCTTTGGGGCAGCGAGCAGAGGTGAAAGGCATGGGCAAGGCCATGTTCAAGGGTGCTGATGGGAAGATGGTGGGCCTCAAGAACGTGCTTTGGGTGCCCAGCCTTGCTGCAAACCTGATTTCCGTGCGGCGGTTGGCAAAGGCCGGCATGGACACGAACTCGAAGGGAGCCAAGACCTACACCGCAAGGCTTGGCGATCGAATTCTTTGGGACCTTCATGAGGACAGGGATGTCTACAACGAGATGTGGCAGATCCTAGTGGTCCCTATGCCTAAGGAGAGGCAAGTGGCAGCAAGCATCAGCACCAAGGATGGAGCGGTCGGTAGCGACGATGGCGCGAACGGTCGCGCTAAGGAGAATGAGCTCAAGAAGAGCAAACCTGGAGGGACCAGCAAGTTCAGTGAACCTAAGGAGAGTGGTGCAGCAACCAAGGAGCAGCAAAAGGGTGAGGAGAACCCAGAGGCAGCAGCGGAGGAGGACTACGGAGAGAGTATGTGGGGCGCTATTGCGAGCGCGGCATTCTCCAATCCAACTTCGGCTACGGGGGAGTGTGATTGGCTCACCTTGCATCGGCGCATGGGGCATCTGGCCCTGCCCATCTTGCAGCAGCTAGTGAAGAATGAGATGGTTGCTGGCATACGTGTGAAGGGGAGCCCGATGAGGTGCTTGGCTGCCCGACGTGCATTCAAGCCAAGTTCACCCGGTTTCCGTTCCCTAGTTCGGAGGCAACGGCAAAGGCACCGCTTGATGAGGTGGTGATGGACGTGGTGGGCCCCCTGAAGCTTGGAGCTGCTGGAGCTGAGTATTTTTTCACCATTGTCGACGTCTACACCCGCATGACTTGGGTGTACGTGCTGGCCAAGAAGAACGACGTGGCTGAAACGTTGAAGACGGATTGGTTCCCGATGGTGGAGCGGCAATAAGACCGTCTAGTCAAGTCAATCCGCACCGATCGAGGGGGAGAGTTCCTGAGCAAGGAGTTTGGGTTGTGGTTGAAGAAGAATGGTATTCGGCACTCCCTCACCATGCCATACTCCCCTGCAATGAACGGCATCGCCGAGCGAGCGAACCGCACAATCACGGAGGCGGCACGCGGGTTGCTCATTGAAGCCGGGCTACCCGACTATTTCTGGCCTGATGCGGTGCGGAGCGCGTGTGTGGCCAAGAACAGAGCCTTGACTCATGTGGGAGCAAACAAATGGGTGCCCTATGTGGAGTGGCTAGGAAGGAAGCCAAAGGTGGATATGCTTCGGGTGTTCGGGTGCATGTGCATGGCGCTCGTGCCTAAGCATCTTCGGCACAACAAGCTTGGTGCCAAGGCGGTGTGGGCCGTGCACTTGGGCATGGCTCAAAACAGCAAGGGATGGCTTCTTTGAGACCCATTCACCAAGAAGTTCTTGGTGAGCAGGGACTGCAAGTTCATGGAGAACTTTATGTACAAGGATTGGAAGGCGGAGAATGAGGCGAAGATAGGCGTGCGGTTTGGGGAGGTGAAGAGTTCCGGTTTGGAGCATGTGGAGCTGCCTTTGGAGCTGAGCAGCGGCAGCACAACCACAAGGCAATCCTCCCTTGTGAATGGGGGAGAGGAGGCCAATGATGCAGAGGAAGAAGAGGAGGAGGTGCAGCAAGTGAGCGAGCGTGCACCGTCACTCCCTTCCCGTACTACGAGTGCTCCACGGATTCGAGCCACACCGCAGCAACGCCAAGGCCTTCAAGTCCCTGCAGCTGAGGAGGAAGGAAGGGGGAAGAGGAGAGTTCAACCCCCTAATAGGCTGACCTATGATGCGCCGGGAAAGCAGGGCAAGACAGCCCTGGCCGGAGCGGCAATGATGGTCGGAGACGACGAGGAGAGTGACTACGAGGAGTGTGCCTTCGCGTTCTTCTCTCCGGTGGAGATGCCGGGAGAACCAGCAACTCTCAAGGAGGCTTTGGAGAGTAGTGATGCTGAGGAGTGGAAGAAGGCCATGGAGCGTGAGCTGAAGAGCATCGAGGAGAATGACACGTTTGAATTGGTGGAGCTACCGGAGGGACGTACGGCGATAACGTCCAAGTGGCTCTTCAAAATCAAGTCGGATGCCGACGGCAAGATCGAGCGCTACAAGTCTAGGCTTGTAGCCAAGGGGTACCAGCAGAAGGAGAAGGTGGACTTCAAGGAGCTGTTTACCCCTGTGGTGAAGCCGACGACGCTGCGAACCCTATTCGCGGGAGCCGCCATCAAAGGATGGGTAGTAAAGCAAATGGACATCGTAACGGCATTCCTTAACGGCATCCTTGAGGAGGAGATTTTTATGGCGCAGCCAGAGGGGTTTGATGATGGTAGTGGCAGAGTGTGGAAGCTGAAGAAGGCCCTCTATGGGCTGAAGCAGGCCCCTAGGCAATGGTACATGAACCTGCGCGAAGTGTTGGAGGGGATCGGCTTCACTCCCTCAACGGCCGATCACTCCTTGTTCATGCTTGGCGAGGGGGAGCAGAGGAGTTTCATGGTGGTTTATGTGGATGACATCCTCATTTTCTCACCCTCTTCTGACCTTGTGAAGGAGGTGATGCTGAAGCTTCAAGACAAGTTCAAGTGCAAGGCCCTTGGTGACGTGAGCTTCTACCTTGGGCTCCACATCGAACGAGATGTGGAGAAGCGGTGCATGCGGGTGCATCAACGAAAGTACCTGGAGGCATTGGCTGCCAACTTTGGGTAGAGTGAAGGCCATGTGGCTACACCCTTTCCCTCTGGGTTCAAGTGTGTGAAGGGACCAGAGGAGGAGAGCGTTGGTGAAGAGGAGAGGCGCCGATTTCACTCGTTGGTGGGCAGCCTCATGTATGCGGCGGTAAACACCCGACCGGACGTCGCGTTTGCTACCGGGCAGCTGGCTAGGGTTGTGCAATGCCCTAATGAGGAGCAGGTAGCAGCTGGAATGAGGGTGGCCAAGTATCTTGGCCAAACACCGACCGTTGGGCTGCAATACTCGGCGGCGGCACGAAGGCGCCAAAAGGGCGCGGATGGTGTTGAACCCGGGCGTTTGTTCCTCACCGCCTACTCGGATGCTTCATATGCATCAGAACCAGAGGACATGACAAGTGTGGGAGGCTTCATATGCTGTGTTGGTGGAGGCCCAACTGCTTGGGAGAGCAAGAAGCAGGTTGACCAAGCTTTGAGCTCGGTGGAGTCCGAGTACATGGCACTCTTCCGTGCCGTACGGGAGATTGTGTGGCAGCGGCGTTTGTTGGCTGAATTGGGGGAGGAGCAGCAAGGACCTACCCCACTGTACTGTGACAGCCAGGGTGCCATTGCTCTTGCTAAGAACCCTGTGTTGCATGGACTCACGAAGCACATGAGGGTGAAGTGGCGTTGGACGAGGAGCATGGTAACCGCGGGTGAAGTTGAGTTGCGCTACGTGAAGACCACGGGGCAGCCGGCTGACATGATGACCAAGAGGCTGGTTGAGCAGCAGCATCGGAAGTGTTGCAAGCTGGCTGGGATGGCTCTGAACTGAGAGAGCAACATATCCTAAGGCCAACAATCCGAGGGGGAGTTTGTTGGTGCAACCCTACGGTTTGCACTCGGCTTGTTGTCCGTGTGCGTGAATGTGTGTGTGTATGGAATGGTATGAGGGCATGGGATAATATATATTTCATGCTTATAATTGTGTGTGAATGTTGAGTCATGATGTCGAGTGTGTGTGTCGAGTCAATAGCGAGTTATCGCTAGACGCGTGTTACGCGGTCGTTTGTGTCTCGCGCGCGGTTTCTATTTTGTCGTGCGCGGTTTCTATTTTGTCCTGTGTCGAACGTTCGGCGTGTCGCAGGTGTGTGCAGCAGACCCATCAAGAACTCAATGATGAGTTTGTGATGAAGAGCCCGAGCCTCAAGTGATTTCGAAGCTTGCCAAAAGGGTACACCTCAAGATATTGAAGATAGTTACATTACTTTGTGTAGTGTAACATTTCACTTGGTGTAGGCCCTAGTGAAGTGTAGTTTCGAGACCCTTCGTGGTTGGGGACAGTGTGGCACTGTTCCACATCACTGTACCTCGGCTCTTGGGGTTTGTAGGAGCTGGGAGTCATTCCCAACTCGTAACTCTTTCTATCTTGTGTTCTAAGACTATAGTGGCTGTCATAGTACCGTTCGTTCAAACCGACGCTGTGTCGTCAATTCTTTATCAAATCGTGCAATCTAAATTGATAATTGTAGACGACGTGAAGACGCTCCAGATCCAATTTGAATCAAGTCATTTGCAGCTGTGAGCAGAACGCTATCAACGTTTGAAGCCGCTGTGCAGAAATCCGTCTGTGCTCTCTATCTTTCGTTTTAGGCACATTGGAGCCTACTGTGACTATAACATCCATGAGCACTGGAAGGAGGGGGGGGAGGAGGGAGGGGTGGTTAGGGGAGGGAGGGATGAGTATAGTCTCAGCTCAAAGGGAACATGGCACGAGGGTGTCAGAGGGCTCTATCCCCGCCCGCCAGGCCGCCACGTCCATGAGCACTGGAGGGAGGGAAAGAGGGGTGACGGTTATGTGAGAGGGGTAGAACAAGCGTGTCTGAGGCCTCTAGCCCCGCCCGCCAGGCCGCCACGTCCCGACGAACCGTCTCCATGAGCACTGGAGGGAGGAGGGGGTTGTGGGGGGAACGGGGAGGGGCGAAAGGGAGACGCCTCAACACTCAGTACGTCAGAGCCCCTCCCGCCAGGCCGCCACGTCCCTACGCACTGTTTCCATTAGCACTGGAAAAAGGGGCGATGGGGGAAGGGAACAAGGGCGAGGATAGAGTCAACCCAAGGGGAAGAAGGCGAGAGTGTCCGAGGGCTCTAGTCCCGCCCGCCAGGCCGCCACGTCGCGACGCACCGTCTCCATGAGCACTGGAGGGGCAGAGGGGGGGGGGGGGGGGGTTGGGGGAAGGCGAGCGTGTCCGAGGCCTCTAGCCCCGCCCGCCAGGCCACCACATCCGAACCTCCTGTCTCCATGAGCACTGGAGGGAGAAACCCGGGGGGGAGGGGAGGGTAAGGAAAGGGGGAAAGGAGGGCACCACTCGTGGTTGTGTTACTTGCTGTAATGACACGCGTTAGTTGAACAAACACCGCTATTATAACACTGATCAATCAACTCACTATTGTCACACTCACCATTGTAACATCCCGAAGCCAGCAATCGGTCGGCAAACACACCGAGCCGCCTCGCCGTCCACCTGGAGCTCCTCCTATTGGCCCGCGCTCCACCGACCAATCCCAGGGCAGCATCCACATCAGCATCTGGTTTCCTCGCATCACCACCGTTGCCACCACCCCCATCGCCGTTCGACCCACCATCCATACCCATGCCTTTGCCCGTACTCACACCCATGCCCATGCCTGTCCCCTCCATTCCCATTCCCCCCATGCCCATGCCCGTTCCCCCCATGACTCGCCGCACGGGTCCCCTCCTGACTTGGCTGAAGATGGCGTGGTGCACGGGCGGGGAGAAGGGCGTGCTGCTGACTGTTCTCGACTTGTCCTGTTGGAATGGGGCAAGGGCGTGGGCAGTGGTGTGACGGCAGAGGGGGTTTGGAGTGAGCTCAGGATTTGCATCCCCTCCTGACTTGGCTGAAGATGGTATGATGCACGGGCGGGGAGAAGGGCGTACTAGAGACGGTTCTTGACTTGTCCTGTGGGGAGACAGAGGAGGGGGTACGGGGATGGGCAGTGGTGTGAAAGCAGAGGAGGTTTGGGGTGGGCTCAGGAGTGGTATCAGCTCCTGACTTGGCTGAAGATAGCATGGTGCACGGGCGGGGAGAAAGGTGTGCTAGAGACGGTTCTTGACTTGTCCTGGGAAGGGAGGGAGAAGGGAAGGAACAAGGAAGGAGAGAGGATGGAGAAGCAGAGTGGAATTGAATGGGGCACGAGAGAACTGGGGAGTGATTTGGCTGAAAATGGTGGAAATGGTGGGATCAGCTGGTGGTGAGACCAGGGCCAATCAGTCTTCTGACATGTTCTCAGCGAGCAGCAACATGTAAGAAGACCGATGGTGTGGTCAGCTGGTGGTGAGACCAGGGCCGAGAGTCAAAGAACCATAAACAGCAGCATTCCGAACCAGCCAACTCACCGCGTTCCGAACCACATAGAGCCCGCCGAACCGGGAGTGCCGCTGCGTGATCTTCTGAGCCAGCGCCTTCCGAGCCGCCCGCTCCTTCTCCTGCCGCCGAGCCTCCGCCAGACGTTCGGCAGCCTCCCGGTCCTCCCGCGCGTCAGCCTCGGCATCAGCCTCCCCGGCAGCCCTAAACGCCGCTACAGCCGCGTCTTTAGGAGGTAATTCGCGGAAGAGGAGATTAAGAATCTCGAGGAATAAGAGGTTGTCGTGCCGAAGAGCTGGGGCGGTTTCGGGGGCGTCGAGGCAGGAGATGAGGAAAAGGAGAATGTCTGGGAAGCCGCTGCGGAAGAGAGAACGAATCAGGTCGTCCTGGGGGTACAAAGTGAGGGGGAACGAAGGGGAGAGTGGGGAAGGTTAGAGGCGCTTTCAGGGGCGTCGAGGCAGGAGACGAGGAAAAGGAGGATGTCTGGGAAGCCACTGCGGAAGAGAGAGCGAATGAGATCGTCCTGGGGGAACAAAGTGAGGGGGAACGAAGGGGAGAGTGGGGAAGGTTAGAGGCGCTTTCAGGGGCGTCGAGGCAGGCAACGAGGAAGAGAAGGCTGTCTGGGAAGCCGCTGCGGAAGAGAGAGCGAATGAGATCGTCCTGGGGGAAAAGAAGGGGTGTGGGATGGGGGAAGGGGGCAGGGGGGGGAAGAGCGGGGCAGAATGATGGGGCGGTTTTGGGGAATCGAGGCAGGAGACGAGGAAGAGAAGTATGTCTGGGAAGCCGCTGCGGAAGAGAGAGCGAATGGGATCGTCCTGAGGGAAAAACATGGGGGGAAATGTAGGGAGGGGGTCGAGTGAGCAGAATTGGGGGGAGTGGGGAGAAGGGGTGCGTGTTGTGTGCATCCCAAGCCTACCTGTCAGGAAGTTCACCGAGCCTGCTTGACGGCAGGTTTGCCGAGCCTACCTGAAGGAAGCACAGATGCGCCCATGCCGAGGCTGAGGACACGTCCGGCGGAGGGTCGGGGATGGCAAGGAGGTTCCGAACCAGAGTGACTATCATCTGCACCAGCCGCCAGTCGTCGCTGCTGCCACGCCCGCTGCACAGAGGAAGCAGGGGGGGAGGGGGGAGGAGGGTGGGGGGGTCGGAAAGGGGGGGGATAAGCAGGGGGTATGGGCACCAACCACGGAGACTATCATCTGCACCAGCCGCCAGTCGTCACTGCTGCCACGCCCGCTGCACAGTGAAAGCAAGGGAAGTGAACGAGGGATGGTTGGGAGATGGACGGGGGGAGGCAGGGGTTGGACCGGGTGTGTGAGGGGAAAGTGGCGACAAGCCTAGCCGGGGGAATAGGGGCATGCTTCGGAACGATGCTTGAGGCGCTTCAGAGGGGCATGTATTGGGGGCGTGGGGTTGCGGAGGATGGAAGGAGGAGGAGGTGCGGATGGGGTTGGGTAAGGCTTCTATGACCAGACGCTCTCCCATCAGCCCTATCTTTTGTTACTACTGTGAAGCTGTATCCACACACTACTTTTGGATATTCTTGAGAGGATCTACGAGCAACTGGAGCACAATCACGATTGCATCGCTTTTTGAGACGCCTAGAATGAGAGTGTGTATCCCCACTCTACCTTTGGATATTCTTGAGAGGATCGACGAGCAACTGGAGCACGATCGCAATCGCATCGCTCTCCCCACTCCCCACATAACCACTCCCACCACCGCCACCACCAGCAGCGCCAGCAGCACTGCCGTTTCTCGGTATAAGCCCACTCGTTACAGCGCCAGTTCCGTGCAGCAGAGCGCTCTTGAAGCGCCTCTGGCAGTGGTGGTGCTCCAGCCTCAGCTTCTGCTGCTGCTGCCGCCCCGCCGCGTCCAGATCAGGCGGCGGCGGCGGCGATGGCATGGTGAGAAACACCAATAGCTTCACTGTAGGGGAAGGGGGCGGGGGGGGGGGGAGGGGGGAGGGGGAGGAAAGGTGCGGGGGAAGGTCGGGAAATGGGGATGTGGCGCTTGTAAGGAGTAGCGCGGAGTCGCGGCGGAATCGCAGATGATGGGGACCAGGTAGGTGCGGGCAACGTTCCACCGACCCACAGAGCACTAGAATTGCGACTCGACTCGGAAGGCGCTGAGACACTTATGTGAACGCGGCAGTCACTAGGAAAAGGCGCTTACCGGCGTTGAGGAGCAGAGAGGAGTCGCGGCGGTATCGGCAGATGATGGGAACGAGGTCCGTGCGGACAGCGGGAGTCAATTGGAAGGGGCGCTTACCGGCGTTAAGGAGTAGAGAAGAGTCGCGGCGGTATCGGCAGATGATGGGAACGAGGTCTGTGCGGACAATGTCCCACCGACCCAGCTGCACCAGCACGTCGCGCGACACGGGGTGGTCCCGCCGCATCAGCCGCTGCAGATCGCGCAGCGAGCCTGAGAGACGGGAACGAGGGGGTAGAGGGAGAAGTGTGACTGATGGCGGGGTGATAAGCGAGCAGAGAGATCACTACTGGTAACGACGTCGGGTGATCCCGCCGCATCAGCCGCTGCAGATCGCGCAGGGAGCCTGAGAGACAGGGACGAGGGGGACGAGGAGTTGGGGGCGGGAGGGGGGAGGGGAGGAGTGTGGAGGGAGGGGGGGTGGAGAGTGATGGTAATTGGGGACTCCCCACTTCGGAAGTGGGGGGTAATGGGCGAGCAGGAGGGGCACTAGGAGCAGCATCACGGGCGCGCCCGCCTCGTCAGTCGCTGAAAGCGGGGGAGAGAGTCTGTGAGATGAGAGGGGGGCGGCGAACTTTGAGACGTCTCGAAACGCGCATCAGCCGCTGTAATCGGCGGAGAGAGCCTGTGACATGAGAGGGGGGCGGCGAAGCCACGTGCACTGCGATATACACGGCGGAGCCACGTGGCGAGCTGAGCCTAAATGGACAACGGCCTTCAGGGAAGAAGGAGCGAAACACCCGCAGCGGGAACATGGTGACGGCAGAAACGAGAGGATCGTCGTTCGTGTTAAGGTAAGGCAGGGGGGCGATTACCAAGGCAATCTTCTCCCTTCTCGTACATCGTCCGCCCCTCCTCGTCTTCCCATTTCCTCCCTAACCGCGTCGCGACGCTGCTGATGATACTCGGATGAATAAGAACCATGTTGATACTAGGTGTCTGAACCTAGTATTTCCGTGTCACCCACAACAAAAAACTCCCTTACATCTACTTTTTTTTCTGCAGCATCCTAGTCCCGCTGCGTGTCTGATATTGCCGTAGATCCTAAGCTTCTTCTCGCACGAATTTTTACAAGTATTTTAGCCGGTGCTGACTGCAAGCTTCGCCTACACAATATCCGTATGATGGAAGTACAGCCAGTGCTGCTGACTGCAAGCTGCGGGAGCTTGATGCAAAGAGAAATCAAACGGCCAACAAATGGGACTCCTGGTCTTTCCAAGGCCCGTTTGAATGAATACGTTCCCTGAGTTAACGAGTTTGGGTTCTCTTGGTGCTCCCATTGACAAAATTGTCTACAAGTTCCTATAACCAGGCTGGCACGGGACTGCTTGTTCGGCGGAACGAGGTCTAATCTCGTAAACGCGGCCTCGTAAATTTGAATTTGCAAATTTCAACTCCCGCGCCTCGCTCAATACGCTTTATTGGAATAGCGTGTTTTCAGCGTCTCGTGTTGATACGGCCTTTCAGATGTCCCGTATAATCAGTATTTGTATCGGTCATAGATTTTATAACCGCGTAGAAGTACATTCAAACATGTGTAAACAGCCAGACTAAACCAGCTTATCGAGTATCGATCGAGTCGCACGCAAATCACCAATATCAACCGCTTCTCCGAGCCGCCACATGTCGCATGCAACCTCTGCTGCCACAACAGCCCCCAAATCAAACAGCCGCTTCCATGCAACCTCAACCCAACCTCTCCGTCAACGCAAATTTATCTCCCATTTTCCCCAATTTCAGTCCAGAAATTTCTGATCTTTGACAGTTAGATTTACACCCTCTGCTTTCAGTGGCAGGAGTCATCGCAACTGCATGCTTGCTGGACGCTTCCTCGGTTCTTAACGACATGGGGCGACGCGTGGCACGGGTAGTTAGCTAAAACTACCCACTCTAGGTCGAAGTTTTTGTTGGGTCCTGGAGCTGAACAAAAAAAGAAAATGATTGATGAGCTAGGCGCCGCGAAACGCGCAGGAGCCGTATCGTCATTGCGCGCAGCCCTGCAAGAAGCTGTTGAATCCTCCGAAACCACTCAGAAAGCGTCTCCGTTCCACCAAACGACTGGTAGTTGCACTCAACGCCCCTGGCTATGTCCAAACGGTGCGATCGAGCCGCCGCGACGCGGACAGCTGCACCGTCATCGCCGGGAGACCCTAGCAGTAACCTTCAGCCGCTGCGCTGCGCCCTCTGGTCGATTCTCACCGGCGATACGCACACGGAACGCCATGGATTCGAGGCTTGTTTTCGCCTTCCCGCAAACGAAACTATAAGTCAGGCGGATCAGTTGCTTACAACCATCATCAGCTGAACACAAGCAGCTGTTAAACACGAGCTTGAGACACGGGGTTTCAAACCGAAGTCAGCAGCTCAGCAGCTCCAGATTCATTTGCTTTCGACTTACTGCTACTATTTCAACGTTCCAAAACAGCCACCTCGCTTCAACGCCTCTCACCAAGTCGTGAACCACCTCGCCTCGCAGCCATGGCGCTCCCTCGCGGCTTCTTCACTGCTGCTGCGGCGCTCGCCCTCGTCGCCCTCCTCGCGGCGTCCCTCCTCCCCGCCGCTCACGCGCGCAAGGACGCGCTTAGTAGCTCCGCGGACGACGCTTCCGCCGCGCTCCTCACGTCCGCCTCCGCGGACGCCGCCGTCTCTACTGCCGCCAGCGCTGCCGCAGGCGGCACGAGCGGCGTGGAGGCTATCGCAGATATGATTCAGCGCCATGGCCCGCGGATTCTTAACGTTGAGTCTTATAACGCGGATGAGCCTCTCCCGGAGCACCTGAAAGATATGGAGGTGCACAGGCGCGAGCTTCAGTCTAACCCCCCCCTTACCGATAGTGAGTGAGATTATCTTAACTCATATGCCTCATCTCCTACCTTCTTGCTGTTTGCAACAAAAGCTTAGCCTCATCATCAAATTCCCTTTACTAAAAGGCAGAAGTGTTTACTCCCCTTAACGCTCCCCCCTCCCCCGCTCTCCCCCTCCCCTCCTCTCCGCAAATGCTTCCCCTTGGATTCCAGATTGCGGCAGGACCACCCTGAGAATCGCTCAGAAGTACGTGGGCGTTTGGTACCAGAAGAATTACATTTTCAATCTGACCATGGTCAACAGGTGCAAGTACAGCCTCCTCAGTCCACTCATCCTCTTCAACTGCTTCGATTTCGGCAATCTTATGGTTGGCTCGCTCGACAACCCCGCGCGCTACCCTTCTCGGTTCCAGAATGTTCAGGTGTTCAGCCCTTGCTGCGTTGAAAGGTTCGGCAAGGGCAACTGCGCTATTCAATTCAACCAGGGCCCCAGGGGTAATGTTCAGCTTTACCCTGGGCAGACTGTGAGCTTTCTTTACGCGTGGAATTACCCGGTTCGGCCGTGCGCTCGGGAGCTGCATTTTGGTAACGGGGATACGTATTTCATGCCCGACGAGATGGTGGGCACGGAGTGTACATTCCCTATTTTGTATGGTGTTCCTAAAAATTAGGGGTGGGTTATATGCTGGAGAACGTGCTAGGGGATGGGTATCGAGCTTCATATTCGGCCTTGCGAAAGGCTGATTGGGCGGATGGATGGACGATGTGGAGTTGGATGCAGCAGATGGGGTGGATGAAGTTTAAGGGGCAGAGATAAAAGGGCTTGTAGATGCTTCTGATGTGTGTCTGTTGTGAGACTTTGATAATGGAATAAGGACCTGGGTGAAACTGGTACATCTATTCTTAATGTTTCTTGGAGGCACAACTAGCTTGCCTTATGGAACCTTCTTTGAACAGTTGACAAACTTCGAATCCTGGTAGGGGCATGTCAATACCTCTTCTTTTTTATGCTTGAGCCTTATAGAGTCTTTTGAAAGCTGCGTTGCCAAGCATGATGAGGCTTCGTTGCAGCAACTATTGCGTTCTCCGGAAACCATTGGAGTGCCGAGGTTGAGCTGAGGTTGAGACGTAGGTACGAGACATGTCCTCGCAGGAATATACCCTTACTGTTATACGTGTAGTCCAGCCATGAATTGCACCTGATTTGATTGCATGATGCCATGTTGGACGTCCTGAAACTTGTATACAGTCCATAAGAATATAACCAGAATTATTTAAGCAGAAGCCACAACAACCTAATGTTGGCCCGAGAAGCAAGCTGATGTCGTGCACGTTCTAGATCAGACCGTGGAAATGGTATGTCAACGGTTCAGATTGACGATGATAAGCTCATTTAGGTGTCATGGCAGAGTCAAAGATATAGGAAGGAATCTTGCGCTCATAATCTTGATACTGGAATTGAAGTGGGTGGATAATTCAGCGCGTAAAATCTACGTTCTAACGCGTTTATCAGCTATACATCTTTACTGAGTTATCGAGGACATCGTTCGAGCGAGTCACAAATTCCCAATGTCAACCGCTTTTCCGAGCCGCCACATGCCGCATGCAACCTCAGCTGCCATAACAGCCCCCAAATCAAGACAGCTCAGCCCAACCCAAACTCTCCCCAAACGGCCCCTGTCGAGCCAGATCCAATTCTCATTTGTCCCAAATTCCAGTCTCCCAACCCCATATTTCCATATTTTTCACCATATTGTTCCACTATCAGAATCTAGAGACAGGAATGAATGAACTATGAAAGAGTTGGGTACAAGTATGAAACCCTAGAAGGGGCTGTACCCCATATTGGCTACCCCACTACAGCCTACACATATATAACATGCATATACTTTGACACACCCCCATAGGCAAAGTGGGGGAGAGCAAGGGTCACAAGACCAGTCAAGAGAAGCAAAACAAGCTCAGGGTGGATCACAACGTCACCACACACACTGAGCACAAGCAAAGGGCCACAAGGCCAGTTCACATGCAGAGGTATATATGCAACAACAACAGCACAGTGATCTCTACCTAGCAGAACAAGCATGCAGGTATATATATAGATCACAGTACAAGCAAAGTCTACAGCAAGTGAGGAAACGTGGGCACAAGGCCTAACAGAGTGCAGAAACGCTGATGATCACCAGACGGAAGTGCCTTGGTGAATATATCAGCAGTGTTGGCCCGAGTGGCCACGTGAGCAAGACGAAGCTGACCACGCTGCTGCAACTCTCGAGCCAGGAAGTAACGCAGAGCGATGTGCTTCGTTCTGTGCTCCAGTCTGTGCTCCTGACACAAGGCAATGGTGGCCTTGTTGTCGACGTACAGCACTGGAGGAGAACGAGGCCGCTCTCCCAAGTCGGTCAGAAGGTAGGTGAGCCAGCGTAACTCCTGTGCAGCCATGGCTGTGGCGTAGATCTCAGCCTCACAACTGGAGCTGAGAACTGAAGACGAGCGTGTAGAACGCCAAGAAACTGAACCAGAGCCAAGGCTGAAGGTGTAACCCTGTGACGACCGCTGCGTAGCCTGGTCGTCAACCCAAGAAGCGTCTGAGTGCCCAGTGAGGACAACGTCACTCCGTCCTCCAAGCACGAGCCCCATGCCCGATGTACTGCACAAGTAGCGTAGTACCCTCTTAGCAGCATCCATGTGCACCTTTCGGTGCCGACCAGGAGCCACGTAGCGAGCCAGAAGGCCAAGAGGGTACGCAAGGTCAGGACGAGTGCAGGTCATCAGGTACATGAGGCAGCCCACTAGCTCTGGGTAAGGACCACTCGGCTCTACGGACTCGTCCGAAGGTGGAGCTGAGAGCGAGTGACCTGTAGCCAGAGGAGTGGCCTGTGCCGAGGACCAGGTGAAGCCGAAGCGCTGAAGGACCTGCTGCACCATGTGTGACTGAGTCAGTGTGATGGTGCGGCGTGCTCTGTCCCGGGTGATCCGCAAGCCAAGATAGCTTGTCAGCTCACCCAGGTCTGTGCACGTGTGTCTCTTCTGCAGCTCCGACTTCACCAGGGCGAGGGCCTCAGTGTCAGCAGTGGCAAAGACCAAGTCGTCGACGTACACGAGGATGTAGAACGGCGG